AGAGGGATTTCTGGGCGCCCCACTATAAGAGAGAATACGGTATATCGGCGCGGAGAAGACGTTTCGCACTAGACACTGGACCGACGCGCGACGGTAGTGTCTGCGACGCGCGACGGTAGTGTCTCCGACGCTTGCTACGGGCGTTATGATTCTCAGGCTCTACAACCGCAGGCTCTCGAATAATTCGAGGTTTTCCCTTTGGGTATAAAACTCCCATCCGATCACCGGTTCGAACACTTCCTTTCGAGAAGCGGAGCATCGGAATCACCCAATGAATAAGAATGTTGCTTATCGTAATTCATTGCGTTTGCTGGAGATTCCCGCCGCCTAACGATCCGTATCGGAGTCTCGAGCTCTGGAATGTGGGATCAGGAAGAGGTTTGGCTAGATTCTCATCCTGGGAGTCAGCAGCAGAACAGGGCAGTTGTGCTCACTGAGCCTTGCGATCTCTAACCCCACAGGGGACTGGGCATCTCATATCTCCGAGAGGTTTTCGTTTGCACTTAGCGATCGGGCACATCGAGAGGAGGGCAACGGAGCCCAGTCGGGTAGAATCGGAGCGAGCACCTAGGCGGCAAAACCACTGGCGCTAACTTTTGGTAGCCGCTTCTGAAGATTGATGGAAGTCCAATCATTTATACGCCGCCACCATCTCACAACGATACTCGGCCGCCAACTTGCTGGCGGCCGAGGCAGACAGCGACAAGAGGCGATTGATTGCTCGCTCCCACCCGAAATTCAGGGGACCTGTTGTGGTCTGCCGGCTCGAAGGATCAATGCTGTTCACCATCAGGAGATTCCTCGGAAGCATCCGTCAAAGAGGAACCCCATTCCCCTCCCTCGAGGACCACAGAAGATTAGAGGGCTTTATGAAACATGGAAGTTCTACGACGGACCATGGACCGAGCCAGAGCTAGATGGTTTAGAGCAGGGGTTCTCAACTCTTTTCGCCCTGCGGAACCCTTATCGCCCTGCGGAACCCTTATCGCTGTCTTCGGACCCTATCTTTCTATATCTTCGCCTCAGTGACCTCTCCTGCACGCATTCGAGCTCAGAAAATTCATTCCGATTCGATACAATGAATAAAAGTCTGAGCAGCAAGCAGGGGCTCGTGAAACCCTAGGGTTCCGCGGAACCCAGGTGAAGAACCGCTGGTCTAGGATCCAGACTCTGGAGTTTTTAGAGAGTTAGCTGCTCTACATGGTCCAGGACCGGTTCTCGATTCCGCAATCCGAGGAACAGCGCTCTTAGGACCCCGCCAGGACAAGGGTCTTGTAGACGCGTCTAGAGCCTCGCCACTGTCCGATCTGACACCCTCGACGGCAAAACTGACAACAACGTCGACGAGAGACAAGAAGTGACAGAACGACTATCTAAGAAGACGTTGATGAAGCCAAACTTTCATTAAGAGGCCATTATCGTACTATTACTCGCTGGCTGTTCAGCCAACCGACCGACCGCCCACCCGCCTGTCTGCTGGGTCGTCCCGGTCCGACGACCCGACATAAAGACTGACGAATGGAAGCGCAGGCCGAGCGACCCGGACACGGCAGATGACTTTGTCCTGTTGCTAAGAAGGAACACTTTCATTGTCGAGAACAAGACGGCGTCGAGTTGAGCACGTTGATGTCGTCATGCTCGTCGCTGCTCTCGCTGTTGCTGATGTTCTGATATTTGTTCTCTGGGTGAGATCGCCGGCAAACAAAGCGTCCGTGCCTGCGAACAATCACGCTCTCGAGCGGTTGGACTCGTCTAACTCTCGACGCTTCTGTCAGGGAAATTGTGATTTTACTGCAGATCCCAGCAAACGTTCTGTGAGCCTCGGAGGTAAAGAGCGGTACGAACGCCGCATTGAAAACTTCTGCTCTTTATCGCGATTGTTGTGCTCCGCGAAGAAAAAACCTGGAATAGCTTTGCAGGCTCTGGCTGGGAGTGAGCAGACTAGCTAACAGTGACTGGCGGGGATGCCGGAAAGCGACCGATCTCCGCAGGCATGTGTGTTCATTTGTTATTCGGTGGCGTTTTTGCGGCCCACTGCAGTCGGGACGAATCAACGAAACACACGCACCGATGCCTCAAAACGAATAAAAGGGAAACTCGCATGGAACGACCGCGAGGACAAGCGGAGCACATAGGGAAAAGAGGACGCGAGATAGATTGACGAATTCTGTCATTCACAGCTCGCGACCGTCACCGGCAAACCCAAGTAAAAGAACGAGTTGAGCGAAGCGCGGAAGACAAACAGAAGACCAATAAAAGCGGCGGAATGAGTGTCTGAGCGCAGCCGAACTCGCTGCGGGGCCATGTGCGATGAAAAATCGATGATGTACACGATGTCAACCGCGATGCGACGGTGACATTGCTTTCAGCGACGATGAAAGCGATTAATTGATTGACGACGCGTTCGGAGGGAATATTTCACTTAGTCCGACAAGCCGTTTTTTCGTGCTCATGCTGTCAAGCACAAAAGTCATCCGACCGATGCCTTGCCCGCCCTTTATCTGAATTTGGGGGATTGCTGAAATCGGAGCAAACAAATCGACGCGAGGTTTACGATTGCATCGAGGCAGACGCGATGGGGGACACTGCGCGTTGCTGGATGTCGAACGATGGGTCGGTCGTTGCGAACGCGAACAACTGGTGGCTGACTCAGTAAATGCCTCGCAGGCCCGGTGTCGCTTTCGGGACACACTATTGGAGGTGCTTTTACGACTTCCCAGAGGGAATCGGTCCCGACGAGATTTCCTAAGCCACCCGCGACGCGGGCTTCCGAGAGGAGATCCGCTTCTCGTCAAGCTGATCGTGAGAGAACGGAATTCGACTTGGTGCTCATCCCGCTCAGCTGAGCTCGGCAGTCGACATGCCTAGCCGGCCCCTCCTTGAAAATGCCTTACAGTCGTCACCTCGGGATTAGACTCCTTGTCGACTTTCGACAGGAAACCCCTGCATACTCCCCATCGTGTGCTTCCCGCAGGCATTGCTCGGGAAGGCTAAGAACAAAACGAGACAGGAGGAAAGCTTCTCGACCGTTGTACTTGAGACTGTCATAGTGACTAACATATTGCGCGACATGAAGGGCGAGTATAATGAGTACCCGACCCCACGGGTACGACGCCGACGCTCCGTGGAAGAGACGGATTCGAACAAGTCTGGAAAGGGGTTGGTGCCATCCTCGTGAAGGCTCGGGGCTAGTCGTTGACAGGAGATATATTGCCCCGACCCGACTAGAGGGCGCTCGTCCCGACCGTGAAGGGGAGCAAGGGACCGGACGTGGCCGAAAAATAGGGCTCTCTGAAACACGTCAATCTTGTGCTGTAGAGGCCAATCCGGGAAACGCTTGCCGGAGGACGATTTTCTGTCCTCACGAGAAATCCACTCGGACCCGTACGCTCGCGTTCCGAGGGAGTCGTTTCGGATTCCGAATCCGGCAGAATCGCTCAGCCGACTAGAGACAAATAGAAGCTCCGGGCATTCGACAACGGCGAGACTCGGTCAACGCAGACACAGCGCCGCTCTGCGCGACGACTCACTTCGGAGTCTGGGTGCTTCTACGGTTAGGAGCACGAGGAGAGACGGAGCTTGAGCGGGACCGAGTCCCGATGTCGAGCGCGAATGTTTTGGGACATTCTCTCCAGAGAGCTCTCTGGAATTAAGTGCTCCGGCGGCGTAAACGTGTGAACGTACTCCATCCCGTTAAACAATGACGTCAGAAGGAGGCCATTGTGGTGGCAACGGCGGCCCGAGTGTAGTGGGTTCCATCTGGCTTTTTGCGCTGAGCTCCTCGGGAAGTCCTCTGGGCTTTGACACAGCCTCAAGGAGGAAGAGTTCTGGGGCAAAAGAAAAAATCCGAAATTGGCTAGTTGGATCTCTTTATATATATATATAAAAAAAGAATGAAGAAGGAGGAGGAAAGTCGTAAAAAAGGTCGTTTTGCTTCAGAAAAGGCAGAAGAATGCTCCAGCCCTTTAGTCGGGTCTGCAACGGCCCTCTGGGGTGTCACTCCTCGGAGAAATTTATCACCCAGCAAGCGACCGTGCTAGACGCTTGGTCTGTGTGTCTTTCTATCCGTCCATTCGTTCCTTCACTCAATCCAAACGGAGGACGAGTGCACATGATCATCCTGGAGCGGTGGATTAGCGCTCCTCTAGGCTTGGACGATTTTATTCAGTGACGCACTTTGCCCCCAGATGGATGGGAATCGCGGAGATAGTTCGAACAGAGTTCTCCGCGTAGATTACGACAGGGCCACCGGCATGAAGCAGATCTCCGACGATCCCGATTGATAATTGAAGGAGGGATCTGACGATCTCGATTGATAATTGAAGGAGGGATCTCACGATCCCGATTGATATTCCTTCATGGCATTCTCACGTTCAGATTTCCGATAATGGGAGAAACTTGGAAATACTGCATAGCGGATCTTCATGGGGATACTGGCGCCTCGCTAGCCTTATCGAAGCAGAGCTGCAGTTGCTCGCGCAACCCGCAGGAAGTCAAACTCGGGAGGGAGCCCGTTCGTTCTTCGACACAGGGAGCTCCCATTGGGACGCGGGCCCTGCAGAGCATTTCTATCCTCCGTGATCCATCTCCCCATTGCCTCCCCAAAAAACCCGGAATACTGCGGGGTTTATTTTCTCGTCCGATCTGGACTGGCACTGCGTCCCGCGAGGAGATCACCGCCCCGAGAGCGGTATCACACGCATGTGATCGTCGGGCCTGACCTCGCGACATCCCGACTTATCCGGCATGTGGAGACGGACTGCGAGCTGGGGCGAGACGCTACAAGGGTGCTAGCACCACGGGATGCGTAGCAACCTACGCGTAGCAACCTAGTCTGAAATGGAACAGAGATGGAGTTTAACTTGTTTCCGGGAGAAAGTACACGAATCGGAATGTGAACTCAGCTTCTGGTATAAGGATTTCGAATCTCATGCGAAGCTCAATCTCGGAACGCTCCCCGGAGGAATACCCGCACCCCTGCCAGCCGAATAATGACAGCATTTTCTCATCTTTTACAGATATCACAGTTTATTCGATCGCTATCTTATCCGGTCTGCTAGAAGTTATTTACAGAATGTACTTACACAATCGCTCATATCAGGGAGCTTACGATGCGTCCGCTAACAAGATGCTTTACTCTAAGAGGCGGTTCCAACTCTCTGCCTAACAGCGAATCTCGTAATCAGTGATCATTCTCCTGCACCTGGAGTCTGCGCGGGAGATGCATCGGAATCTCATTGACAGTGGAAGAACTGAGATGACGGGTCGATCCCGGTTTCCAAAGATCGATTGGGTACTTCGCAGGTTTACGCGCCTGACTACGAGTCGGGAAATGTGAGCTTTTTTGGAAAGATATCATACTCCATGAATTTTCTTACAGGAGCTCAATGGATTCTCAGCCATCCCAAAAGCTCTCCCAAAAATCTGGTGTACCGCTGCTAGCATCAACCGATATAAGTACCTTTGTCCGGCTCCTGTCGCGGAATCAGTCCTCAATATTTTGGAAAGGGAGATCGGATGATCCGACAATCGCGGTCGAGGTCAAAATGTAAGGACGAGCTCAACTCCGGATACGTCCAATCTTCGGGTCGACTGAAGCCCGGATTTCTTCATCGACGAATTTCCTTCTACCTTCTTCCTTCTCTTATTGCAGTTTTCATGTGGCACTGGCGCAGCTGCGAGCTGGGATTTTCCTGGAGCAGGTTCAAAAGGCTCGATATCGATCAAAATGTTCCGAATCCCGTACACCATGAGGGTGTTGCATGCGTCTTGAGATACACGACAGACATATTCTACTCTTGTGGCTTATCTGTAAGCTCTAATTGCGTAGACGGCTCGGGTTGCGACGCCGACGTCGTCTGAGATTGGAGGTCCGTCCGAGAACTGACCGCATTCCCTAGGGTCGCGACAGCGACATTGTAAGCGGGAGGGGGTGTGCCAGCTTCGCGACGCACTACTTCATGGTAAGCAGGCGGTTTATCGGAAGCTACGGTAAGTGTCCGATGAACTCGCGGGTCGTAAATCGCAAGATGCTCGTCCTGCTGTTGGAGCGCCAACGCTCGAAGTTGAGCCCTGTGTTGAGCTTGGAGTTGTTGGCGAGATTTACACACCATGAGAACGAAAGCTGCGATTAGCACCAAGCCGATGAAAATCGATATTGATATGAGCGTAAACCAAACTAGCGAGAAATCATGGCTGTCCACCAGCAAGGACAGCGGTACGCAACACGACACTTGTTCCACCTCTTGGCAGTATTCAATACCATTGATCTCTACGATATTGCCGTACATAGCACCCTTGCACGGACAGTGACTGTAGTTGTCCGGCTTGAGCCTGAGGGTTGGCATGAGCTGTTTCACTCTCTCGAGGAGTGTTCGATTTTTCTTCGATTGACATTTCATGTAGGGCTTACGCAGAGCGATTTTCCGTAGAGCGCCCACACATTGTTCGCTCTCTTTCTGCGTGACCGGATGGCAAGGTAGTGTTCCGGTGTAACCAGGTACACACTGCGTTCCGTCGAAGAGGTGTTCTCCCTGTTGACAAACGCATTTAGCCTGTCTGCAGAAACGCTTGCTCGGGTCGCAGTAGGCCAAATCGGATTCGCATTTTTCCGATTTCGCGTACACGTAGATGTCACTGAATTGTATTCCTGATGGGACCTCCACTCCCGGTCGCTTGAACGCGCAGCTGTATTGTGCCGAAGCGCCTGCGTATTGCACAATCATCTCAGCCCCGATCGATGGCTCCTCCATCACAATGCTGACCGGACTCTCGCCGATCAGGAGACCTTCGGCATCCTTCCACACGACGGTCATGTTGCCTAGAGCCTCCAGGCTGAGGTCGTTGGGCAATTCGGAGAGGCATTGAACTCGATAGGTAGGCCTGACTTTTCCGTATGGCAGTATCTTTATCTGACTGCCCAGAGCACAGCCCAAGATGAAAGCGAGAACAGCTGGCCTCATCTTCACCTCAGAGGCGCTCCTGAAAGTCCAAGAAAACTTTTATTAGAAATGCTCGCGGAGTATGATATGCTCTCTCGGCGAGTCAGCTGTTCGCCATGCGAAACCCAGAAATTACACGGAAGGAATGAAACAACGATTGATTCGACGTCTCCGGTGACATCATATTGCAGTTATGTATATCTTCCGAAATCGTGGTTCTCTTTGCATCTCGGTAGGAGGCTATAGGAGCTCCGAGTCTGCTGCTTATGCGCGGGCAGACCCCTTTTTGAAATGTCGCAGAATCAAGTCCTTTCCGGTTCGAAAAAAATCAATTGCCGGCTGAAGCTAGATTGCTAGTTTACATTGAGCTATAAGCGAGCTGTATCGTGAATCGTAAATAGGCTCATTACGCAAATTTATGTTGTAGGACCATCCGTTACGGCCCTGACCTCATACGCCGATCCGATCTCACTCTCCAAAATCTTATCACATCCGTAGAGGGCCATTGCCTAGCTTCCAGATTAAAAGCTTCGATCTCAACCGGAAGAATTCACTGCTTTTGAATCACATTCTTTGTCGGCTGTCGAATCAGGGAATTCGTCGCTCGCCCGAACAACATTGAAAATAATTATTTTCATCTGAGAAGCCTATGTCGGAAACCAGTTCGAAGAATGGCCTCTCCGAAGACTTTCTGATCCTATGCAATCATACAGAACCATAGGTCCCTGTACCCGTCGGGCAGCAATCCCGAGAGATAAGCAGGAATCCTGAACGTCGTCGCGCTTACAAACGAAGGAACATTGCGCCTATAAGGAAACTCTGAATGGAATCATACGTTTCGCAGGGATCGCTTCATGGACTCATGGATCAGAAAGCATCACCTCCGCTTCCTGCCGTCCCGTATGAAAGTCTTGGAACGCGCAACGATGAACTGATTCTTTTCTGACCGCTGTCGGGAACGCTCGTCACAGCCCACAACAATATAAGCTGCAGACGAAGCTCGACGCGCGTTTGCTGATCGGTTGGCCGCAACGGGCTACGTGGACCACAGGAGCATTCTACACGTTTCTTTTTATCGTCGTCGAATGTCCTTCTCTAGACTGTCATCGTAAATGGAAATATTGTACGTGAGAATTTTGTCATCTGAAACGCTTGATGAGACACATGCTCTACCATGAGTTGCGATAAACCAGACATTGTAGGGACGGGTGGCCGTAAGGTTCGAATGTCTCGAACGCGTTGGATGAGGAGCTTGCCTGCGTGTTTCGAGAAGCTGGACTCGAAAATCAGGCGGCGGGAGACAAGCCATCAACTAGACAGCACTCCGCAAGTCATGACCGGCCACGGAAATCAAGTTATACACGGAAATTAATTCTCGCATTTCTCCTATCTGTGAAGGCTCGCGTTAGATTCACGATAGCGGTGATTTACCGCCGTGAAGCATCGCGTGGACCTGGGTCCTCGTCCTCGATTATCGTATCGCCGGCCGATTATCCCGTCAGTAGGCAGAGAAACTCAGCGGAGAGGTTGTGAATGGAGTCCGGTGCCTGTCTCATTCGTCCACTCGTACTCCACCGACAGATCTCACTCCGCTCGCTTGCACGGCTATTCCGTCGGACATCCGAGAAATGACCATTGTTCGAAAAGTGCTCACGACCGAGGAAAATCGACATCGAGCTTTGACATCGTTTTACTTCGACTGCGTCGCGTCGTTGCCTTCTTCGAAGCTGTACTGACTGACTGAGTCATGATGTAAGCGCGTTCTTCTTGCTTTAGATAATTTTCCTCCATTTTTCACTGCCGTCGCTATCAGAGTGATGTAACCAGACGACCCCCAGCTCGGGGCATCAACGGGGCGCGGTTTTCGTCCATGTGCAGCACGAAGTCACTCGATAACAGAAGACGAGACTTGTATTGTCGTTGCGCTACATGGTATCTGGAGATGTCGTCGATCAATAGGCGATCCCTCGGGATAATAAAAGCAATCGAGGGGTCGAGACGAACCTTTGCAACGAATCCGCCTGCTGGGGTTCTCACAAAGGGATGAGAAGACTAGTTTCGCAATCTGCCGCCACAATGAGCCCCTGGTGACTAGTTTCCGATTTAAAATGCCCCAGAGCTCGGAGACAAGTTGTCGAAACACCCTGTTAGCAGGCCCACTGTGTGAGCTTCAAGGTCGGAAGACTTTCGTCTCCGGCTGCGAGCGTCTGGTCAACAAAGACAAAAGATGGCCGTCACCGTTCAGCTTGATTGGCTACCTGGCTCTGCGAATAACTCCCTGATTGATTGACTCATCGACGTCGAAGTGCTCGCCCGTCCGGATAGATTTCTGAGGGCAAGCGAGGTAACGTAAGCTTCTCCCATCACGAGTCCTCATTAGTTAAGCGAATCTTGAGAAGCCGTTCCGGCGACTCCTAATTATTGTGACACCGAGTTCCGCGATGAAGCCGAAACAGCAGCGGATTGTGGTAGACCAACAAGCACTCGTTCTGGAAGGAGTCTTTCTACGGCCACCGCGCCGTCCAGCACTACAAGTCCGGGGGGTGGAGGCAACGCCGCGCCGTAGCTCGAATAGTGCAGAATAGCCTTTGTCATGCTTCCAGCTCAACCACGAAAATGTGGACAACAATTCGCTGAACTACCTTCTCGTTCCTTTAAGCTGTCCGCCAGATTCTCATCGGCGGAACCATCGGGAATCAGACTTACGCCCAGAACCCCGCCTTGAGCATCGGGAAAGAATACGATAAACTGGAAAATGGACTCAACCAAGCCAAAAAAAAATAGAAAGCCACTGTAACAATGTCTCTACTCGCTGTCGTCACCGACAACAACGTCGATTACCGGTCTTGTACTTGCGTATGAACACTAGGAGCAATTCAACAACGAAAGAAAATTATTCTCAAGGATTCACAGGTTTTTGTAAGCTAGTGCTCGCGAGCTGCGGAGGCACAGCGGCGTCGGCGGAAAGCTTCTTGAGGTAAATTTCAAGAAAATGAGTGTTCGGACAGATCTGTGACTCCAGACGCTCGTGGCAACGCGTCGCCTTGAATCCATTATTGTCGGGGCGTAGAAGAAATGTTGTTCTCCCTATAGCTCCCCAGTCCGAAGAAGTATCTCGCTTTTAATCACGTACGCTCCGATCCATGCAAGCCGCAAGTTTCGTGACTAAGCGTGTGTAACGCCGATCTGAATGATTGTCAACGATTGCCGATTGAGGAGCGAGTCCGATTGCATCGATCTGGCTAAATCGGGGAATCGTGTCGATGACAGACATCAGTGCATAGGACAATCTTCGGCGGTCCTGCGGACATCGACCCGGGTCGGTTCGGTGAATGCACTGGATCCGGCGCTAAAAATGGCCCACAATTAATTGGCCCTCATGTCTCTCTGGTAATAGATCGAAATTGACAGTATGTCGGTTGCTCAGTGGCGAATGCAACGATTCTGGCGGAGCTCTGTCTCCTCGCAGAAAAGATGCGGGTGGTCGCTGCCTCGAATAGTGCTGCGGTAGCCGTTTGATACAAAACCGGATGTTCGTGGGAGCCTGCTAGAATTTCGGAACTACGCGTGGTCAGAGCGGGGAACGCAGAAATTCATCTGTCTTCCTCGACGCATCGACGCTCATCAACAGAAAAGCTCCAGAGAATCCACACAAACCGAATATTTTTGAAGTCGACGTCTTTATTCCGTGTCCGGCATGCACACTGCGTCTTCGGAAAGTAAACCAGTCTATTCTAGCGCAATCCTGCGGTGGGCGGGAATTTAGCTCGAAACTCACAGTCGGTCAGAAACAAGAATCAGTGAATGTCGTGGAAGCGTCGAAAAGAAACAAGGGAGACGGAAAAGGTACCAGAAGAATTGGCTTGCTCGCCAAACTTTCCCGACTACCAGGCTGGGGCCGGATCGCGTTGAGCAGCACCCATTTTGCAACGATCAGAAAATGGAGAAAAGAAACCGAAATGCCGTCGATCCACCGAGCGATAAAGCAGCGCAATTCCCGATGACCAAACGGTTACCAAGTCAATCGGAAACGCTGGTCGATGGAGGAAGTATCGAATACAGCTACGCACCACGCTGGCCGATAAGGAAAAGCGTCGGCATGTTTATATAATATATTCAGTGAAAGAGGGAAGGTCGTCGGTTAGACCAGAAAAAAATAACCAGTCTCGACTCACATCCTGTTCCCAATGAGGCTTTTATCTCGAGTTCAGTCAGTCAACCAGCTACGCGGAAGAAATCCGATCATGCCACTAGGAGACTTAGATCGAGAATATTCAGCCTCAGGCTATCGCTGCAGGGGAAATCTCTCCCACAAATTATCGCATAGCGTGTCTTCACGAACAGAAGCTGATGTCGATAAGTGACGCCTCCAGTTACGGATTCATTAGACGCTAGATGAAAAGTTCTCTTACGTTTGAGATGTCTTTCGTCTTTCAGCAGACGCTTCTCCGGAGCACATTCGAATCCCCTACTGGTATGCATACGACCAAGGAATGGGCTCTCGCTGTTTTTGGGCGACCTCATCGAAAGAGGGCGAGTGAAGCGAAAACAGAGCACATGGTTTCCCGGAAGGCGCTCCGAGCGGAGTCCTGGACTCGGCGCGCTGCATGGGTGATCATCGGAGGTTCTCCGTCCACTCCACATGCTCTCTCTGCCTTCCGTAGAAGCCTTCACAATTCTCTTGAAACCTTTCTCTTTCACTCTGCTTTCAGCTGACACCTCCTCGATGCACTGCGCTCAGTGCCCGGACTCGGACCATCGCGAACTCAAGCATCGGGGAGCGGTCCTGTGCCGGAGCGGAGAAGAGAAAGTCTTCCTGACCGCAAGGACGTCCTCTTCGTTGACAAGGAACTTTTCTTTTACAGACGACCGGGACTCTCATGTCAATAACTCAAGACCATAATTCCGAGGACAAGGCATCGTATAATCGTGAGAGGCTAGTTACGGTGAAGAAACTTTCGTTTTCATCCGCACTTCATATTCCATATGTGTTATTCACTCCCCCGCGCTCACACGGTCGATCGCGAAGACAAAAGAGAT